GCGCGCGAGCAAAGAAGCAACTGGCACGCGACAGGTTCGTTTGCCAGCGAGAATCGAAACGGCGAGCTTGTTAATTTTCACCTGTAAACTTGACGATTTCTCGAGACACTTTTACCCTTTCCTTTTTTTTTTTTTTTTTTTTTTTTCGAGAAAAGAATTGAAAGGCAATCCGAGGAAAAAGCAAATTACACGACGAACGACCATTTGCTGGCGGTGTACGTACAATTGGCTCGAACGACACTCAAAGATAGATAAATTCTTGATACATTGCCCCCAATCGTACGGGAATTTCAATCCTTCAATTTTCAGTGGTTTCTCCCCGAAACAAATAATAATCGACGAGAAACGAAGCGAAGAGCCTCGATCGAGAAGCGGAGGGAAAAAAGAAAAGAGAGAAAGGGTAGTGGGAGTCGTCTTGTTTCATCAGGGGGCGGAACGTTGCGATCGTGCTTAACGCGAAACTTGATTCGACCTCGGTTTCCAATCTAAAACAGTGCTCGCGATACTGCTACGGATTTTCCCCATGCAGACCGATTAATAATCTTCCCCTTTTAATCGCTCCTTTGGTCTGGTCGCCTGTGTACGTACGTGGCCACGGGCACGATTTCGCGCCCAGGAGGGACGAACACCGGGTATCCAGCCCGTTTCATCAACCGATTTCGCAATTATTGAAGAAATAAGGGGACAATTGCATTTAGCTGCGACAAATCGCCACTCTCGCGGAACTCTCGACGCGCGGGGCAGCGCGGCCCATCGTCGGAAACGAGAGGAATGGGAGGAAACAAACAAGCCCGGAAACGTAATATGAAGTTCCAACGGCACGCGGCCCGTTAATCTAACAGCCTGACGATGGCCGAAATCGTTTTACTCATCAAGATTGGCTCGTCGTTAGGGCGGGGAGGGGGTGTCCCGTTTCCCGAAATTTTTCCCGACTCTTGATTGCTTTCTACGACGTGCTGCCCCTTTCGCCCCTTTTCAAGACCACGCCGGCCACGTGTCTTCAAATTGACGAATTAAAGCTACTATTTCCGAGCAACGTGATTGAGAAACGACGATTGATTCGCGATCGAGGATTTGATCTATTTAACGCGGGGTAAGGAAGCTTCATCGTTACCAAATTTGGGACTGTATGTTTAATCGAATCTGTACGTACGTAAAATACGAACATACGGTTGTGTGTGTGTGTGTGTGTGCGTGAGAGCGAGTGTGTGTGAAGTACGTGCGAAGACAAAAGAGTCGCAACAGCATGCAGGTCTTGAGGGAGTTATAGAGAGAGCTTAATATCTCTTTGTCATCCTCGTATTCAGTTTTCCTTTTAATACCAAAACATTAATTAAACTCTGTATTATAAACCGTGTGATTTAGTTTCGTTATTTATCGTTACGTTAATTTATCAACGTGATAAGTAATCCTAGAACCGTCTCGCACGACAGGCAACATTTAACAACAATTGTTGAAGAAAACAGCGAAACGAAAATCCATCCAAACGAAAATCCATCGTTTGGCGAAAGTGCCGTCGATTTCCAACCAACTAAGATTTCCGGGTGTGTCCGAGTGCTCGAGGGACGATCCATCGTCCCCGTTAAAAGACTTTCATCGCCGGGGCCAATAGCCATTAAATAACCGCCGACGAAAGGGAAAACAAAGAAAGAAAGAAGAAGAACGAAAAAAAAGAAAAAAGAAAAAAATCTACAAGATCGGGCCGACCTCCGCTTCCGCCTGTCCCATAAAACAGCGGAAAGAGGACGCGACGGTTCAACGAATGAGCTGGCAAGGGTATCGGATAATACACAGAGAGAAAGCTGGAAACAGGCGCGAAGGGTGTGTGGAATGGGGTGCAGAGGATGGAGAACCGAGAGCAAAGCAGCCTAAGTGAAACGAATGTCGGTAGTTTCCCGAAGCAGTTTCGGGATGTTGTAACGGTGTCAACTTTGTCCATTAACCATCGATTTCTCTCGGCGCGTTAGCCAACTAGGCTGAAGCGTTTACCCCTTTTCTGCGCTGATAGCGGTAACTTCGCCTCGTTCAGCCTGACACAACCTTTACCAGTTTTACGCTTTTCCCCGCCGACTCTCTTTCCTTACACCTGTCTGCCCCGTGACGCGGTTAATTGCTAACCGTTAATGAAATACCCGTCGAGCTGCCCGAGATGACAGTGTAAAGTCCGAGAGAGAACTTTGCGCGTAATTTCATCATTTCGGGGGGGAGGGGGGAGTGGGAAATCGAATTTCATCGTCCGAGTTTATTCGAAGGAAGCGCAACCTCGATCCAGGCTTGGCAACGATTCATCCGGGCAACTTTTTAACCCAGTTAACCTTCACCTTCCTTGTCCACTGTGGACAGACAACGCGCAAGTGCGTAACTCGCGGATATATAAAATTCAATTGTCGTCGACACAGCGACGGTGATAGCTTCAAACGCGACAAGCAGACGTTATCTAAAAATTATCAACTTCTCCCTGTCCCCTGTCTCGCGTTTAATCTGCCGAAATTCCCGACGCTTTTTGCAACGCGACAACGACGACAAGGAAGAAAAGCTGCCGCTCGCGCGGCGGAGCGCCTCTCAAGAGATGAATATAAATAAGGGTATTAAGGCAATAATACTCGGCTTGCATTAAGCGAAGTTACGCTCATGGAGACTTATCGTCGCACTCGAAATTAGGTTTCACGCGCGAAGCTGTCGCTCTATTCCCCCTCGTTCGCCTCTACGCACGAGTCACGAGGCTGTTCGCCGAATGTCGCCGAGCAAACACCATGAATATTTCAACGACTGATTTAACCGGTGAATTAACGCCAAGGTAACACGCATCTTGTTTTATGAAGCGCCACCCCGACAATAAGACCGTAACACGGCTTTAGCGAGTTAATCCGTTCGGTCGGAATGCACGCGCGGTCTCGTTTCGTTCTTCTCCCCCCCCCCCTCCTGCCCCCTTCCTCCCCCTTCATCCACCCACCCTTTTAATTAAGAGCGCAATCATTCCATCGTAATCCAATAGTCGATCCCCTCCCCCCGCCCCCTCTTCCTCCACTACCTGTCCATCGCGATTTTCATTCTCCCGAACTTCTGCCGGCACTAAAGTTAAATTCGTCGTAAAAAAGAAAAAAAAAAAAAGAAAAAGAAAAAGAAAAAGTTTCGACGAAGCTTGTCCCTATCTTTCGTTCGCTCGTCCGTGTTAACTTTCGCGCGTCAAACTTTTGTCACTTGAAGACGACGAATTTTTTTCCCTCTTTCTTTTTTACGTCGATCGTTACCCCGTCGACACTAACCCCTTGCGCTGGCAACTGGTTCGCGGACCATAACGAGTGACCGAACCGATTCGCATTTTAATTCATCGCTTTCTCCTTGAACGTGTCGGTATCGACATCCCTGGATAGAAATTATTGAGAAGTAACAAACTTATCATTCGTTTTGCCTAGGTTACGTTTAGGTTACACTGAAAACTGGGAAAATGTTGCAATTTGGGACAAACTATTCGCGACTTTAATGACTTTTTGTACCCTCCACTTTATTTTAAGGGCAACTGTAAATAACCGTAGACTTCCGGTCTCGAAAGTTTTTGCCCCGATTTGATTCTCTATTCGTCGTTTAGCGTCGGACGTCGCGACACGCCGGGCTAAAGCAGCGTGAACAAATGAACAATCGATGGCGAATATCGCGTCGATCAAAGATTAGGAAAACAACGGAATCGAATTACAGAGAGAGCGACAAAATAATTAAAAACGACGAACATTACGACACTTTGGTCAACGATTTGCGGACCATAACGAGTGACCAAACCGTATTCAATAATTCGTCGCTTTCTTTTCGAACTCGTCTATCTACGATATCACTGGATTAGAAATTATTGAGAAGTAACAAATTTATTATTTGTTTTTCCTGGGTTATACTTGAGTATACTTAAAACTGAGAAAATATTAAAATTCTTGACATGCGTGGTACGTCGTTTCAGCTCAAGAGGTTGACGAGTCCGACTTTACGTCCACTTTACGCCGAATCGCTACAGTCGAGTCGACAAACACACACGTCGCAGCGATTCCGGTGAATCCGCGCTGGCCACGGCTGGCGATACGTATGTGCATGTATTATATCAAACGGGCAAATATGTATATACTTTCCAGCTGAAGGAATAAATTACGTTCCGTTACCGAGCGGATATAAACGAAATATCCCGTGATACGATATTAATGCGTCACGATGCGCGAGATATGCGCGAGCGTGACCAATTTTCGCAAACGGGTCCCTTTGACGCGGTAATAGAGCGTTTACTGTCGCGCACCAGCGCCCACCTCGATTCGTAAATAATCCGTTTTATAACCCTAAACTCTTCTGTGCGAGCCGGGACTCGCTTCACTCCGCCATCATCGTGCTTCATCGTTTCTACGAATTTTAAGCGAGCAGCCGCGCCACTATTTTTGTATCTCTCCTAACTTGAGCTCGCCCTTTTCAACGCGAACAAAAAAATAAAAAAAAAGAAAAAACGAGGAAACATTGGGGAATTTTCCATAAAGTTTCGAACGGCGCAACGAAGGAGCAGATTTTTCTGCGCGCGCTTCTCTCTCCTCGCAGGATCGATGTACACACCCGTACGTAATACGTAAGTAATACATTAGACGGGCAATGACGAGCAAACACGCGATTCCTCGTTTACGTTTGCCAGACGCAAACGATGAATCGACGCAGCATCGCGATCTAAAAACCAGCCGACTACGACAGACGTTACATCGTTCCAGACGTTTATTGGGGATCGTAAAGCACAAAGAGGGATAGCGCTTCGCAAGTTTAATTCAACGCGCGCGCGAGAGTTGCTGGGGAAATTTTGTTATCTCGACAACCCCTCTCTCCTTCACGAAACTTCCTTCTCGTCGTCGTCGTCGTCGTCGTCGTCTGGCCGTGAAAAGTTCCCATCGCTACCGGCGACAATTATTCGCCGATGTGCGATAGATATGGAAATATAGCGGATTGCAAATGCATCCTCGATTGGGAGGGGGTGGTAAACTCACCAGTGAATCACCAAACTCGGACATGCACAGCTCGGAGATGCTCGCACAGCCGCAACCGGCGTCTTAAAGAGAATCCTTGATATCGTCGACAAACTCGATTCTGCAATCAGAGAACCACGGAATTAAATCCAAAGATCAGCGAAATACTCGGCTGATCGATCGATACGAAATTGTCGCCAACTGGCCGCGTATTTTGCATCTTCGTGATTCGATCGTTGTTCGAAAATTCGCGGCCAAGGCAAACGACGACAAACTCGGGAGGATGGGTTTTGCGCGAAACGCGGCCCGCAAAAAAACGTTAACAACAGGGCGAATCTAAAATTCGCGTTTCACGCGGTACACCGTTGCGCACAACGGCGTGAGAGCACATCCTATTAACACCGTAGCTTTCTCGCGCGATTCCCCGGTGGAAGCTGCTTAAACTTAATAGCGCCGAGCAAGCTTAATGTAAGGTGTTTTTATGTATTTCGCTGCGATATTTTACACAGGGGAAGAGGGTTCAGCGTCAACCGTCGAGGGAAAAAATCGAACGTCGCCGTGAAAGCGGATCTCGAAGCGACCGAAAAACACGAGCCACCATCACTTCCGAAATTAACCACCTCCCCTCTCGGAAATTTTGCCTCTAATTTTGGAATGTTCAGTTGTTATCGCGGCCCGATATTAATTCGGAGATAAGCGTGGAAATGACTGACACGGTTATTTCCTGCGTCGGTGTAATGTCCCCAAGTGCCATTTTAAAGATATTTCTATTTCAACTCCTGCGCTGTCAACTGATTGCGCGGACCGTAACGAGTGACCGAACCGTATACAATAATTCGCCGCTTTCTTTTCCATTTGAACTCGTCGGTATGATATCACCGGATTGTCAAGAAATTGTCAAGAAGTAATAAAGTGATCGTTTGTTTCACCTGGTTTGCATTTAAACATACTTAAAACTGAGAAAATGCTGTCATTTACAAAACAAATCTCGACGCGCGTGACACGCAAATATTTTTATCCTATCACCTCGATGTCTCTTTAAACATTCACGCGCAATTCTTTTTACCTTTGCCTAATTGACCCGACCGATCACGTCGGTCGAAAATTTGCAAATCTCTCACAACCTTCTCGCAACGTCGACAAATTCACTTCGAGATGAATCGTTTCTTCGAGCGACGACTACTTATTCTCGACGATTGCGGATAGTAATACAACGCTCGATGACGTTTGAATATCAAACGACCGATTCAATTAAACCGAATAGATGTAAATTTCCGTGCGCGTCCTCGCGCCGTTTACAGGGGAATGCAAATACGCTGCAGACCGGTAAATCTCCGGCGTATTTCTATTCTCGTAACACGCGAGAGTTATTAAGGCCTGTACACCGGCGGCGCGTTGCGTTTAGCCGACACCCCATAAAACTGTAAACACGTTGTCGACATTGGTTTTATCGTGTACTCATTGCGACGCGGCCAATTTCCGCGAATTCGCGCGGCTGTTGATTCCAGCGAACCTTTGCTATTGTACCCGACAACGTTGCGCCGAAAATGTTTCCAGCACCTTGTTTCGTTTCCATCAACCGTTACGCGCTCGATCGTAACGCGACGAAAAGTTTCGAAAAAAAATAAAAAAAGAAATGTCCACGTTTTGAAGTTTCGAGCGAGTTAATCGAGAGAATCTAAACGAACGCCTTCGGGTATTGCGCGACGACTCCGGAGGATATGAAAACGTGTAATCGCTGAAGTTCATTTGCTCGAGGATGCTTTACGAAGAGCGAGTTGCTCGGTGATATTACGCCGAACAAAGGGCGTTTACGACGGTCCTGAGAGTGGCCTTTGCCGCGCAAAGTCTACCACTGCAGCATGGTATACTCGCGAAGCGATACGTACGTACAAATATACAAATTCCGTCCAGCCTTTGGAATCTCCTAGGAATTCTCGAGTCACGAGTCGACAACTGCTCCGCCGATTTTTTACAACCATCGCGTGCTCGTTATTCGCGGAACGAGACACTGAGGTGAAATCCTCGTAAGTAATAACAGAGCGAAACGACCGACACGTTCAATGGGCCGTCGTCGACAGGACGGCGGAACGCGTTACCGCGTTAATTATATTTCGCAAGACAAACAGTGCGTGGAGGCTTGAATTCTTAGCCAGCGGCTATAAATTCCTGAGACTGACGGACGAAAGATCGCGCGTTTACCTGGACAGACGTTACGCGTTTCAAGTTGAGCAACGTTTCGCTCCTTTCCAAGCGAACCGGATTCATTCCGACTGCGACACGGATGGGGGAGCAAACCATTGTACTTCCGGTTACTCGTTAGCCCACATTCGCAACGATACGAGGGGGACGCAATTAAACGTCAAAGTGCAATTTTAACGTGACCTCTCCCTCGCCCGTGTTAACCGCGTCTCCGTCGAAATTGCCCTTCTCCTTCGGACAGTATCGGAAAATTGAGTTAAAACACCGTCCCCCCGCATCCTTTAACGGCGTGTTCTGAATACGTAGAAGGAGAGAGAAAGAGAGAGAGAGAGAGAGAGAACATTTTCAGCGCGGTCGGGAGGCCAATGGCCGACAGTCGACGTCGCTGCGGCCACCGCCGCCGCCGCTGCCACGCTTGCACCGCAGCCAAGAAATTTCCATAGATCCTTAACGCGTCGGTGGAGTGTACGCAAAGCGGCAGACTTTGCGGCAACGTCGTGTCGTGCATCAGCCACAGGTGCCTACTTCTCCTCGCCCGATGTCTCACCGACGCGCGACGCGACGCGACGCGACCCGACGCGACGCGACGCCGGGCGTTTATGGCTGTTGTAAAAGCGTCATCTCCCTAGCACCACGTTCGATAACGTATCGGCGACGTGCACCGCTTTGTAGCCTTCTCCTGTCACCGGTTCACACCCTTCACAACACCCCCACGACGGATGAAACGACGGATATATCGCGAAATGAGCATTACGCGTTTCACGCGCGAGACATCCGATCCGATCCAGGGAGAGAGAGAAAGAGAGAGAGAGAGAGATTACACGCCACGGCGATGCTCGAGCACTTTTTATCATTCCAACGATCTCAGCTCTCGCTGCTTCGCAACGAATCGCGAAATCCAAAAGTGAGAGAGAGAGAGAGAGAAATTTGGAAAAAGAAATTTTTTTCAGGAATTAGGCACGAGTCGTCCTTTTGTACTTTGAAACAAAAAAGTACAAATAGGACAGGATACACGGAAACAGTTTAGAAGCAAGCATAAGCTCTTATTATAATACTTTCATATCTATGAGTTCCGGAAAGTGAAAGTCTTCTCTTGAAGTATAATTCTTATACAACTTGTAACTTATATATCAATAATTTTAATATATTTTTAATTTTATAAATATTAATATTTACTTGTGTATATTTATAATTTTTTATAAATATTTTATATAACTGCTGTAACTTACATATTTCATGTCTATTAGTTTCGGAAAGTGAAAGTCTTCTCTTGAAGTATAACATATAATTCTTATACAACTTGCAACTTATACATTTATAATTATACTTATATATTTATCTTGTACAACTTACAACTCTTATAACTTATACATTTAACATCTATAAGTTCCGGAAAATGAAAGTGTTCTCTTGGAGTACAACACCGTACAACGTAACAACGTCAACTAACTTGAAATCTCAACGACCGCGTGTCACCGAATTTGTTCCAACTTGCGCAAAACGGTATCTGTTCCACGCTTCTTCGCGAGGATCGATACAGAGTGGTGTGTCCTCGGTGTACAAAATGCAAAGCGTTTGTTAATACCGGCGCTACGCAGAGAAAGAAGATCATTCTTCCCCCCCGAGTCCTGTTTTTTTCCCCGACGCGTCGACTAGGTGTAACGGACTGCGGCCGCAGACTCTCCACCGACAGCGACAAAACACAGACAGTTATACACGGCCGGTTATCAACCCGTGGTTTTCGCCTCGTGGCTCCTCGCGTCTCATAGCCGCCTGTACCTTCGTGGCGTAGATATTAAAATCAATACGGTATGCGTTTGACTGGTACACCGTAGCCACCGCTATTACCGCACGCCGCGGCCACGAGGTCGTACATACAGTTAGCTGTTGCTGGCTGGCTACCTCTCTATTCTGCCTCTCTCTCTCTCTCTCTCTCCCTCCCTCTGTTTCTCTCTAACAACTACTACTCCTCCTTGCCGATACACGCGGGAATTGTAGCTGCAACTGCAGTGCCCAGCATCGGACAAGCAACCGCTACGGTATGCTGGCCGAGCCTGCCAAACGGCTGAGTGAATGGATAGTTCGGCTATAGGGTGTGAAACTGTTACAAAGCTACGGAGAGAGCCGTGAGGGAAACGGGTGGAAACCGGCGGGAGAGGAGATGGTTCGTTGTTTGGTGGGTAGAAGCGGAAAGGGGTTGGGCACGCCAAGTCGCTGGATAATTTCGTAGCAAGTTAATCAGACGCGGCTACAGCCTCCGGAGGATGCGCAGGGAAAGCGAAGAATCGGGGTTTGCCGAGAGAGAAGCCGAGGGGTTTGTTGCTGATACGAGGATACCGGAGAAGAGAGCGAAGGAAGAGGGCACGAATGTGTGTGTGTGTAAGAGAGAGAGAGAGAGAGAGAGAGAGGAGAAGAGAGCACACGAACGTACAAGCCGCGACATCAAATGCTGTCCAAGACGCGCCCGATGTCACGTAACAGCTGCTGCTAATAGCCTGTTTAACCGGCAGCCCGAAACCTCTCGTTCTCACGCCTAGACTAATTATAGTGTCGCGTCTTAAATTCGCGCGTGTTGCGAGCCGACGTTCCGCGCGCCGATACAAATAGCGCCGGGGTGGATGTTCTTTTAAATCGAGCCCGAGTTCGCCGACAGGAATAAACAGAAAAATATCTCCAAGATAGTTCACACGCAAAGTGTGTCTGTTACCGTTGTTCGACGAGCTTCGTCTTCCCTCGATTTTGATTCCCCCGATTATTATTTGGAATATTTTATTGCAAAAAAAAAAAAAGAAAATGTTTTCGCTTTGATGGATAAGTCAATGATTCTCTTATGAAAGAGGGATAATCGTCGAATATTGTTTTTTTGATATAGCCGCCCATTTCGATTACTCTATCGGTGTTAAAAAATCGGTGAGAAAA